TTTGTAGGCACACTACAAATATTTTTTGAATGAATAGATGCTTTATAGTTCTCAGTGAGCTGTCTCTTTCTACCCAGTGGAAGCCAGAACCCTGTTTGGTTCACCTTTGTTGCACAGGCACTAGCTCAGAACCATTCAGTTTGTATAGCTCTGTTTTTTTTTTTTTTTTTAACATCTCTGCCCTCATGGAGCTTGAAATCTAGTGAAACCAGGACAAATCCAGAAAGATCTGGGTTCAGATCTGCATTTTCTGTTAAGTAGGTGACCTTGAGCAAATCCCTTTCTCTCTCTGGGCCTCACCTCATGAATAAAAAGGGCACAAATACTATTCATTCTTTCTGCTTCAGGGTTGTCTTGAGAAACCATCAAGATAACATTGTGAAAAGGCTTTGTGAATGGTTAGGAGCTATAGGAAAGGGGGGAGTGTATTGTTACTAAAATGGTAGCAAACATTTCAGTAGTTACTCTAACAGCTTTCCATGTATCAATTCAGTTACTCCTAGTAACCATATGAAGTGGAAAACCAACGTACACAGAGGTTAAGAACTTGCCCAGTTAATTGCAAGTTGCAAAGCTGGGATTTCAACCTGCAAAGTCTGGCACCTTGGCCTACACTATCACCTACCATGCTATGCCTCCTGCTTTTATGGGTCCGACTAATAACAGTACAGAATTAGGTGCTGAATTTTGAGAGCCCAACAATGAGTTCAGTAGACATTCAGGTAGCTAGGAGCCCACTGAGGGCTGGAGGCTCTGAAGGGAAGGAAATTTAAGCTGCCTCTAAAGGATAGATAAGAACTGTAGGACAGGAGAGAAGGTAGGGCATCCAGACAGAAGAAATGGCAGGAGCAAAGGCACAGAGATGGCATTGAATTTGGTGTGTTTGGGGGACAGTGAGGAAGCCAAACTGGCTGACAAAAAAAAAAAAGAGATCTGCTGATGAGGGTAGGGGGAAGGGCATTAAATGTCAGGTGTGGAATTTGGACAGCAATATGGAGGTATTTGCTGTTTTTATTTGTAAGTCTGTAACCTCTAAAGTGTTAAAAAATAAAATCATCCAAGTAAATTTGAAGATCTACTTGGCTCTTTTAAGTTATTCATGAATGGGGCAGCATCCCCTCTAGCAAGTAGAGAGAGACTCCAAGGAGTTGTACAAAATGAAGGTTTTTATAGCTGGGGCAGCTGATGGGGTGGGTAGTTATTAGCAGAATTGAGAAAAAGGGATTGTTTCAGGCCAGTTCACTCTTTTTTAGGGGAAAAAACAAGGTGGGTCATATGATGCAGATGACCTCTTTTTTAAATTTTTTATTAAAGTATCATTGATATACAATCTTACGATGGTTTCATATAAACAGCACAGTGGTTCAACATTCACCCGTATTATCAAGTCCTCACCCCGTCCATTGCAGTCACGGCCTATCAATGTAGTAAGATGTTACAGAGTCATTAAGTATTCTTGCTGTACTACTGTCCTGTGACCTACCTATATTGTGATTGCAAATTACAGTGTTCCGTAATCCCCTTCTCCCTTCCCACCTACCCTCTCCAACTCCTCTTTAGTAACCACTAGTCCCTTCTTGGTGTCTACGTCTATTGCTATTTTGTTCCTTCTGTTTTGTTTTGTTTTTATACTTCACAAATGAGTGAAATCATTTGGTATTTGTCTTTCTCTGCCTGTCTCATTTCACTGAGCATAATACCCTCTAGATCCATCCAGCAACCCATGTTGTTGCAAATGACAGGATTTCTTTTCCTTTTATGGCTGAATAATATTTCATTGTGTATATGTACCACATCTTCTTTATCCATTCATCTATTGATGAACACTTAGGTTGCTTCCATATCTTGACTATTTTAAATAATCCTGTGGTAAACATAGGGGTGCATATATCTTTTCAAATCAGGGATCTTGTTTTCTTTGGATGAATTCCTAGGACTGAAATAACTAGGTCAAATGGTATTTCTATTTTTAGTTTTTGAAGAGCCTCCATATTGCTTTCCACAATGGGTGAACCAATTTACATTCCCACCTGTAAGTCTGGGGAAAGGAAATCCCAGGGCAACATACCTCTAAAAACCGAAATCAGTCAAAGGGATAAATAAAGTTTAAAATCTGTTTATTGCTCACAAACTGCAGTCCTGGGCCGGCTCTCTTTCCTGCTCCAGCAGAAGCAAAACCTGCCCTCCCCTCACCTCTTGGGTACAGATAAGCCCTCCTTGCCCAGATAATTACCCATTGATATGGAGATGAACTTCTCTCCACCCTTGAGGAATGATGCAAATGCACTAAAGCCATACTTCTTTCCACCTTTGAGCACCTGTTGATATGCAGATGTACAAAAGCCAGGCAAGATATTCTGGAAATATTACAATTTTACCTACAGGCCTCCCCTCCAGAAATCTCACCTTACAATTTACTCATTCCCCCTCTTCTGACCAAACTAATGACATACAATAGCAACAGCAATAAAATCATGATAATCCCAAGTCAGAGGATTCAGCCTATGCAGATTAAGTAAATGTACTTTACAGCACAACCTCTCACTAAGCACAAAATGTTTCTACACTTGTTTACTCATTTCTAACAACTATGCTAGATTACTCACAAAACTTTTACAAAACATTAGACAAAGTCAAGCCTCTCTTTAAGCATTTTTTTCTCGACAACAGCAACACAATCACGATAATTCTCAAGCCAGAGGATTCAGCTAGGTTCAAAGTACCATGCACATTAAATCCAAAGCTTGTCCATTCCAGCCATCACGTGGCAGCTGCAGCCAGGGGACACATTCAGGACACAAGGACTGTAGAAGCAAATAACCACTTTACTGTTATTACAGGAATACACAGGAGACCAGCTTCCAGGCTTTTCCCCCAAGGTGCCAGAAGAGCCAGCCATTGCCAGTCCATGTGTCAAAATGTCCAGGGCCATGTCCATTTATTTTTTTATTTTTTATTTTGGTATCACTAATCTACAATGACATGAGGAACATTGTGTTTACTAGACTCCCCCCATCACCAAGTCCCCCCCACATACCCCCATTACTGTCTATCAGTGTAGTAAGATGCTGTAGAATCACTACTTGTCTTCTCTGTGTTGTACAGCCCTCCCCATGCCCCCCTCCCACATTATACATGCTAATCATAATGCCCCCTTTCTTCCCCCCCCTTATGCCTCCCTTCCCACCCATCCTCCCCAGTCCCTTTCCCTTTGGTAACTGTTAGTCCATTCTTGGGTTCTGTGAGTCTGCTGCTGTTTTGCTCCTTCAGTTTTTTCTTTGTTCTTATACTCCACAGATGAGTGAAATCATTTGATAATTGTCTTTCTCAGCCTGGCTTATTTCACTGAGCATAATACCCTCTAGCTCCATCCATGTTGTTGCAAATGGTAGGATTTGTTTTCTTCTTATGGCTGAATAATATTCCATTGTGTATATGTACCACATCTTCTTTATCCATTCATCTACTGATGGACACTTAGGTTGCTTCCATTTCTTGGCTATTGTAAATAGTGCTGCAATGAACATAGGGGTGCATACGTCTTTTTCAAACTGGGCTGCTGCATTCTTAGGGTAAATTCCTAAAAGTGGAATTCCTGGGTCAAATGGTATTTCTATTTTGAGCATTCTGAGGAACCTACATACTGCTTTCCACAATGGTTCAACTAATTTACATTCCCACCAGCAGTGTAGAAGGGTTCCCCTTTCTCCACAACCTCGCCAACATTTGTTGTTGTTTGTCTTTTGGATGGTGGCCATCCTTACTGGTATGGGGTGATACCTCATTGTGGTTTTAATTTGCATTTCTCTGATGACTAGCGATGTGGAGCATCTTTTCATGTGTCTGTTGGCCATCTGAATTTCTTCTTTGGAGAACTGTCTGTTCAGCTTCTCTGACCATTTTTTATTGGATTATTTGCTTTTTGTTTGTTGAGGTGCATGAGCTCTTTATATATTTTGGATGTCAACCCTTTATCAGATCTGTCATTTATGAATATATTCTCCCATACTAGGATGCCTTTTTGTTCTATTGGTGGTGTCCTTTGCTGTACAGAACCTTTTCAGCTTGATATAGTCCCACTTGTTTAATTTTGCTTTTGTTTGCCTTGCAGGGCCATGTCCATTTTATTCTTAATTGCTGTACCTATCCTTGCAACACATGTCTAATAAAGTGGGTGTGCCTTAATTGCTCTCAATCACTGGCAACGGGCCACAGGCTTCAAAGAGACATTCTAGGCCCCTCTTGGTGGTTTGCTGATCTGTACAAGTTGCATGGCTCTTCTTCCAGAATTGGCTGACTTCTTCAAAGGTCAATGGCAAGCCCCACTGACGGGTTACAGCCCACATTGTCTTTTTCCCCACGTACACCAAATGCTGATGTAGCCATTGGGTCACATCAGAGGCAGGCTTTCCTTTTAGCCAGCACACCTGGGCCAATAATACATCTGCTTCATTATTCCCTGGGGATGCCAAAGGCAAATGGCCAGTCACACAATATACGGTAGATGTCTGTGCAACACCACTTCATGGCCTTTGGGTCCAGTCTATCACCCACCCAGTGGTGAGTTAGGTGATTATTACCTTGGTCAGAGCTTTTCCGGCAATGGGCTTTGTAGCCAGCAAGGCGTGGTACAGAGCAGCCAGTTGCTTTTCTGTTAAGATGTACCAGACCTCTGCTCTTTTCCATAGTTGTGACCAGGCTCTAGCCGGCAGCAGAAGGAGCAGCAGTGGCAGAAGCAGTAGCCTTAGACTAGGGCCACAGGGCGGGGTCAGCATGGCCAGCAGTGGTGGTAGTGCCTCCATGACCACACGAGTGTAGACACATGTCCCTTGGTGTGAATGCCACTTCTCCCCATCATTTCTTGGGGCAGCTCTCCCAAAGGTTGCCCTCATTTTAACAGATTTTGGGTTCAGAGGAACCCTGCCGACTGTGCCAGATGTAAGTCCAGGGAGAGGAAATCCCAGGGGGAAATACCTCTAAAAACTGAAATCAGTCAAAGGGAGAAATAAAATTTTAAATCTGTTTATTGTTCACAACTGCAGTCACGTGCTGTCTCTCTTCCCCGCTCCAGCAGAAGCAAAACCAGCCCTCCCCTCTTCTCTCAGGTACATATAAGCCCTCCTTACCCATTGATATGGAGATGAACTTCTCTCCACCCCTGAGGAATGATGCAAATGCACTAAAGCCATACTTCTCTCCACCTTTGAGAGCCTGTTGATATGCAGATGTACTAAAGCCAGGCGAGATATTCTGGAAATATTACAATTTTACCTACACCACCACACATGACCTTTTACAGAAGGTGGAGAAGGTGCACGTGATGGATTATCTTAATGACACTTATCAGAAAATTCCTGCCTGATGACATTTTTGGGGGAAGTTGAAACTGTAATCATGTTTAAGTTTTAGGCCCTGGTTTGGTGACTTGGCTGAACAGAAGTGACCATGTTTGGCCTGTGTCTTTTTTAAACAATTGTTTGAGAAACCAAAAGCAGTCCCTGACTTGACTTCTTTCCAGAGGAGGGATTGGAGGGGCAGTCTGGGGATCAAGCAAGCCTACCTGTGGTGTTCCCTCCTTCCCAGTCCTTTCCACATGTTCCATAAATTTCGGGAGGTGGAATGAGAGGGAAGGGGTTAAGATATGAGATGGAAGCCTGACCCCCCAGTGGTAGTCCTGTAGAACTGCAGATCAGGGAACCTCAAATGAACCTTAGGAACTGGCCCCACCTACCCCACAATGGGGGCTAAGACACTCATCCCAGAGCTGGACAAGGGGCAAGGGCTCCCTCTGGATCAGTTCTCCTAAACTGAGCCTCCTGGGTGAGTGAGCTAAGAAAGACAGTTTAGTGTGGTGGTTTAGAGCACAGGCTCAGAGTCAGACTGGGTTAAATTGAGGTTCTGACACTGATCTTGGAGACTTGCTTAACATTCTGTTGCCTTAGTTTCACTGCCTATAATGTGAGGATAACAGTACCTCTTTCACAGGTTAATTGTGAAAATCCAATATAATAATGTCTGTAAGCACATAGAATATAATCTAGCGTTCAGTGAGTACTCAAGGTTAGCCAACTGTGGCAGTAACTCAGGCTCTTATCTTCCGGCTCACTGTTTCTGCAGGTCTCTCCCCATCCCCACCCCTACCCTGACCACTGAAACACATAGACACACACACACAGACACACACCCCACAACCACCACCAGCAAGGACCTGGGAAAATGGGGGAATGGCTACAGGAATGCTAGAGAGGGTAGGCATGGGTGGCTCCCTTGGAGGGTTTGGACTTCCTTCCTATCCTGGGCCTCTCCATGAGCTCAATAACAGTTCCCAAGGAGTTGGCAGGGCTTTGGCAGCTCCCTTGAGAGGCCCCAGCCTGGAGGAAGGGAAGAGCACAGTCCCTCCTCCTCTCCCAAGGAGCTTGAGTCTCTTGTTCCCAAAAGCAGCTGCAGTAAGTTCCCTTTCCAGGGGGTTGTGATATGGCTAAGTGGCCTTTCTCCTGCCCTGGCTATTGGACCTAATCCTAACCTCCCTTGGGCCTCAGTTTCCCTGTCTGTGGTCTGTGGAAAGAGATGCTTCCCCCTCACAGTCTCCATGGCAACCATGATCGATGGTGGTGGTGTCCTCCTGACAGGAAAGGTCACTATCTTCTTCCCCTTATATTCTCATACAGTTGCATGCAGATACAATTACACAACCACCAGAGACTCATACTCCTAATTATAGGACACATCCATACTACCAATCTTCAGACCCAACTCCTTACTAAAACACAGACACCTCATATGCTGTATATACTCAGAAGTGCTCCAAAACCCTCTCACACACACATACCACAGACACTCAGGTCACAAGACACATACCTAATAAACAGATGCACAATCATGTGTAAACAAATACCCAGACACACAAAAGAGACACATATACCCCGCACAGACAAACAGGAATATATACCGAGAAAACACCCAGACACCCAGAACATATTGTGACCGTGCATCTATTTCTTATACACGTGCAGCTCATAGTTTCTCACAAGCACACAGCACCCTTCCCTGCCTTCTCCCTAAGCACACCCCCCCTTCCTCTACCCCCTTCCTTTGGCACAGAACAGCCACAGGGTGTTTGGAGGAAGCTGTTCTTAGGGATAGAGGCAGGTCACTGCCTCCTCCTCTGGCCTGACCCATCTTGGTCCATATCCTTCACTCAAAAGGCTGCCGAGGAGGAGATCCAGTCCATAGGCTGGATGAGGAAGAGGCTGTGGCTGGGAGGCTTGTGGGGCAGAGGCGGGGGAGGGGGGAGAGGGAGGAGATCCAGGGAGGGAACAGGGGAGGGAGTCTGCAGGCGGTCTTACTCAGGCTGGGGAGCCTAAGGGGGAGGTGGTGTGGGGAGGGCAGTTGTTGTCAGGCTCAGCTGGTGGGGGCCATGCCCCACGCCCACAATGAACCTGGAAGGGCTGGAAATGGTTGCTGTGCTTGTGGTCCTCGTTCTGTTTGTCAAGGTCCTGGAGCAGTTTGGCCTCTTTGAGCCTGTGTCCTTGGAAGGTAACCCAGGTGTCTGGGCTGCTGGCTGGAGGGACACCTCCCTGCAGTGTTGGGGTGGGAATTACTCTGATGTTATGACTGGGACAGAAGTGAGCAGGTTAGTGATTGGATAGGGCATCTGGAGAAGTGAGGAGGGTATCTGGGGGACTGGGTGTCAGAGAAAGGTGAGAGAGAGCCAGGGGCAGGGTGTTTGGAGAGGTGAGGAGGAGTACTGCATGGGAGGACTGGGGTATAAGATGAGGAGAATCTGGGGGGCATAAGAGGTCTGAAGACAGGTAAGGGTATCTGGAATAGAGGACAGAGGTTCCAGGGATCCTAAGAAATGACCAGATTCCTGGGGAGTCCTTTTGGAGCCAGGAGCCCACAACAGCTCTGAAGATGTGTGTGACTCTCCACACCTCCACTGTTGCACATGTAGTTTACAGAGTGTGTGTGGACTCAGTGTGTGAGAGATACAGAGAGAGAGATGCGTTCATCGGTGAGAAAGGAAAAGCATATGACTGTGTGAGCCTGGGTATGTGAGAAGGTGGGTGTTTGGCTTTGTGAAATGGTGAATGTGACTGTGCCTGAGGGGGACAGGTTGTGGGGCTGTGCCTCTTTGTGTATAGGATTGTTGTTTGGTTGTTCCTAGAGTTCCCCAAGGGTATACCCATGAACTCCATACCCAAAGCTTGGGAAGGTGGTGGGTTCTTGAGGGACAGAAGCAGGAACACTGTGAATAAGACATTTATAATTAGCTATGGCAGGAGAGTGAGGGGTGGATCAGATCAGGGATCCCAGTTGCTCCCATGACCCAAGGCCAGAATGGTCTCCAGGGCCTAGACATTTTTGGGAATGGGAAATCAATTCTCCAGCCCACCTCAAAGTCAAGTGGGGAGAGTGATATTGGAGGTAGAGAGGGGAACATATTCTGTCACCGCTGGAGAGTTTTGGCCTATCCCTCCTTTTCACACCAAGAACTATGCAGCTGCATAGCATCGCTATCCCCCAGTTCCACCAGGGACAAGAAAACAGGCAAGAACCATGATAGGAGGGATGTAGGGTAGACACCTGGGAGAACTGAAAAGATGTGAGGGGAGCTAGGGACAAGAGGAAGGTTCATGAATTGCCTGCTGTAAGGTACAGTACAAGCAGAAAACTCAGCCCATGCTTCAACCTCTGCTGCATTTTTTGGGGTGGGGTGAGGAGCAGGGATTGGCCCTAGATGAACTGGGGTTCACCCAATCTTGAAAAGCTGAAGTCAGTTGCATTCTAATGTGCCATCCCCTTCAGACTATTTGGTCGAAAGAGGGGTCACCCAGGAAACCCAGGTGTTCTGTAGGCTGAAGGCAGCCCCTTTTTCTTCTCATCTTCCAAAGAGGCTAGAGGTGACTGAATCCTGGGAGTAGGCAGGGGGCCAGGTAGGATGTGTATGACGAAGGGGAGACTGGGAGAGGCGGGGGGGCTGCTCTTCAGCCTGGCGGGTCGCAACTACACTGGGCACAATCCGGCTTCAGGAAACCAAAGTCTGAGCTAATGGAGCCCTGGGCTGGGGGCCAGACTGCCATCGATCCCTCACCCAGCCCACCCTCTCCCTTCCAGCTCTCCACAGCTGCGGGGGCGGGGGGGAGTGGGGGAGGACTTGTGGGAGGATGAGGCAGCACTGACAGAGCTGTTTCCTCCAGGAGCTGGGCCTGGTCCTGAGGGTGGAGCCTGGCTGGAGGGGGTGAGGTCTGCGTGGGAGTAACCAAACCCCGGAGTTGGGGCCTGCCAGGAACTGAGGCCAGCTTAAGTCAGTATGTCAAGTCTGGTGGGCTCTGGCTCTGGAGGCTGGAGGTGGTTGCAGCAGGGCGACTGACACACCAAAGCGGTAGATCTTACTGGTATGTAATTAGAGCTGTTAGGACACGTGTAAATAAGGGGAAATGAGGGGAACCATGATCAATGGCGTTCTGGGTAACCCAACCCCACATTACACCAGAATACTCACCTCAAAGGTCTGTTATTGCTTCAAAGTTGAAGATCATTTCACCATCAGAGAGTAAGCCATACTGGAAAGGAGTGGAAAGGGACAAACTTTTAGGGTGGATGAGTTTGCTAATGAGGAACTGTTCCACTGGCAGGAAGGTTCTAGGTGCTTTGGAATTAAGGGTTATAGGAAACAAAGGTGGGTTTACTCAGTGATACAAACCCAGGTCCTGTGGGTGAGGTGCAGTCTTAGGTATCTGGGTGCCATGGCCACTTAGGTCACTGTGACATGGGTATGTGTCATGGTGACCTTGATATGTGTCATAATGTTTTAATGTCACAGTGCGTCATAGTGTTCTTAACATACTGTGTCACCGTGTTCCAGGTCAGTTGCATTCTAATGTGCCAAGGTCATTGAGTGTTCTTGAGTGGTTCTGTCATGCTGCGTGTAAGGTGGCCTGTATGGGTCCTCATATGTGTGTGTCATGTTTGCTCTGGGTCACATTTGTGTATGTTTGTATTAAGGAGTACTAGGTCAAAGTGTGTGCCTGTGTGTATGTATGTATTGGGGCCTGCTTAATAAGGCCATTGGGTGTGGATGCTTTATGGGGTATCAAGCTGTCTCTGTATGGCATCCATCACTCTGTGATTTATCATTCTGTGTGTTACTATACACACCTGTCACTGTATGTGAGTGTGTGTGCGAGAGGTGTTCCTACCCAGGCAATCCTTGGGTTGGATATCACCCTCAGAGATCCAGCCATAGCAATGGAGCCAAGGGCACTGGGTCAGCAGTGGCCAGTGCCTGCCACCACCACCCCACCTCCCACACCTAGCCAGCCACTTTGCTGCCGTCGGTTGTGGCTCGTTACACAAGGTGCCCAAGCTGCCTTGGTGGACTTCCCATGCCTGTGAAACCCACTGGGCATCCCTAACCCAGCCCCAAATAAATACCTTGCCATTCCCCCCAATCCTCTATCAATACCCACCCCCTATCCGGGGTTGATTTGTGATGGTGGGGAGGTTACAGGGAACGGAGGGACCGCGGGGGTTAATGTGCCTTCCTGGGGTCTTCTCTTTTCCCAGGCCACCCTCCAGGCCCCACTAAAAAAGCCCTGAAGCAGCGGTTCCTCAAGCTGCTGCCGTGCTGCGGGCCCCAAGCCCTGCCCTCAGTCAGTGAAAGCAAGTGTCTCTCCAGTGCTTCCGGGGGCGGGACCGTATGTGTGGGGTGTGACCAGTGCGAGGCGAGCGGGTGTGAGTGTGAGACCAACGTGGCCAGGGTTGGCTCTGTGTGTGTGTGTGTGTGTGTGTGTGTGTGTGTGGCCAGTGTGGCCAGGGTTGGGTGGGTGCTGGCTGGCTGAGTGAAAGGGCGTGGCTACAGTGAGATGTGTGATGTGGTCAGTTAGGGGGTGGGTCCCGAGTGTGGGCACTCACCCTCCTGCAAAACCCGCAGAGCTGAGTATTTGGGTGAGGCCAGTGTCGGAGGGCTGAGGCCTGGGCCTGCCTTGGTGCCGCCAGTGTGGTGGGAGGAGACCAGACGGCCGTGAGGGTCTGTGTGTGGCTTAGGTGGGCTACCGCTGCTCGCCCCGCCCCGGACATGTTTTGGGCCCCGTGAAGTTTGTTGTTAATGCCACTGAATGGATGCAAGGTGCAGAGGACGGAGCCCGCCTTCCTCCAAATTCCAAGATTTGAGGTTTCTAGTCCCAGCCTGGTCCACACTAGAGTAACCGCTTTGTTTCCAAGCCTCATTTCGTCAGTTAAACCTTTTATAAGTTATATAGGCCCATATTGTGGTTATTATCTGAGAGTATCGTTGTGTTTGATTCTGCTGGGTCCCACGTGGGGGTAGATTCGGAAAAAGAATAGGCGTGAATCCTGCAAGGATGTGTGAATGGGGTCCATTTCGTGTGTCTGTGCCCATTCATTACGTGTGCCTTTGCGCTCGGGGCTGCGGTGGGTGCATTGTAACACGTAAGTTTGTGAGATTTGCTGTGAGTGTGAGGGGCGAGTGTGTCTGCAGTCGTGTGGTCTTCCACTTTCTTGGTGACAGTTCGCTCCCTTCAGCATTAGCCGTCCCAGCCTCCCTCCGCCCCCACAGACCCCGCCCGCTGGACCCAGGTGACTTACTCTCCTAGTGGGAGCGTGAGTGGGGGACTTCGGGAGTTCGGGGTGGGGGCACTTGCCTGGGGACTGGATGTAGGGGGCTGGGGCGGGCCTAAGATGGGGCGGAGGTGGGGCCTTTGCTAAGGCTTTTACTTGGGGCGGGGTCAGGGTTGGGGTCCCGACGGGGCTTGGCTGGAGCTGGGTGGGGCATGGCTCTGGCATGGCTGGGATAGGTGGGGCTTGGCTGGCGGGAAGGGTCTAGGCATGGATCGGGCACTGCAAGATCCGAGCTGGGCGAATCTGAGTTGGTCTGGGAAGGATCTGAACTCGGTCCCGCAGACGCTCGGTCTCGAACCCATTTTTTTCACTCTTCCCTTTCTGGGACAATAATGTGGCTTGGTGCCTTTCCCTTCCACCAGGGATGAAGGGCCCATGGGCCAGCACCGAGTCGGACCTCTGGCCCTGGGGCCGGGCCCAGTTATAGACTTAGAAACTAACCGTCTTCTCTCCTTGCCTTGATGTCCTCCGTTCGGGTCCAGGGAACTGGCAGACTGGTCTCCGGTGTCAAAGCTGGGGAGGATGATGGTTGGGTCGGTAGTTTTTGAAGAGGGTTCGAGGGGGCCGGGCCTGAGGCGTGGCTGTCCCCACTCCCCACTGACCCCTGCAGACAGCGTGGAGGATGAGTTTGAACTGTCCACCGTGTGTCACCGGCCCGAGGGTCTGGAGCAGCTACAGGAGCAAACCAAGTTCACTCGCAAGGAGTTGCAGGTCCTGTACCGGGGCTTCAAGAACGTGAGTGCAAAAAGCGAGTGGGTGGGGAGACGGGTGGAGCAGAAGGGGGGCGCCTATCCAGAACTTTAAGGAAAAGGATGGACTGGGTGATTTGAGGAGTATGAGGGAAGGGGAGGAGGAGGGAGAACCCCTCCGCCCCCGCAAATCTAACTTCTAGTGGGCAGTTCTGGCAGATTTGAGAAGGGGTGGAGCCTGTAGATTGGCCTGTTAGTTCCTTGGGGGGGTTTTTTGGACAGGGCGGGGGAGCACTGGAGATAAGGTTTGCCTCCCACTAAAAGAACACGGTAAGCCTGGAGGCAAGATTTTCCTTCTCTCTGAGAGTTTCTGGCCTGGAATGGGTGGTGAGCAGGAGTTTTGTCACTGTCCTCAATCTGGTCTCTCCCCACCCAGGAATGTCCCAGTGGAATTGTCAATGAGGAGAACTTCAAGCAGATTTACTCCCAGTTCTTTCCTCAAGGAGGTAAGGGTACAAGGTCTGACAGGAAGCGGATGCCCATCTCTAGGCAAAGTCTAGGAGAGAGTTCTGGAGGGGCTGGGAATGCCAAGGGATAGAGGGGTTTGGGGAGCCCCACGGAAGTAGGAAATCCTCTTCTATCTGGAAGCCAGGCTTACTTATTCACACTTACCCTACAGACTCCAGTACATATGCTACTTTTCTCTTCAATGCTTTTGACACCAACCATGATGGCTCTGTCAGTTTTGAGGTGAGCTGGAGGAGGTGGGCCAGGGAGGCCTGTTTCCTGGGGCTTCAGGGCCAGCATCCACAGGCCAGACCCACAGAGGGGGTTGGATGAAGGGAATCTGAAGACACAACTCTCCCCCCTCTCCTTCCCAGGACTTTGTGGCTGGTTTATCGGTGATTCTTCGAGGAACCATAGACGACAGGCTGAACTGGGCTTTTAACCTTTATGACCTCAACAAGGATGGCTGTATCACCAAGGAGGTGTGAAGAGTTGGAGTGCTTGTATGTGTGTGGGGTGCAAAGGGCCCGTGGGAGGGAAACATGACCCACATGTACATTACCAGCAAGGGGTGAGGTCTGCCCTAGGTCTCCTGGTTTGGAGGCTGGAGGCTCTGAGGAGGGATCCTCTTCTCTCTTGGTCTAACAGGAAATGCTTGATATCATGAAATCCATCTATGACATGATGGGCAAGTATACATATCCTGCACTCCGTGAGGAGGCCCCAAGGGAACACGTGGAAAGCTTCTTCCAGGTGCTTGGGACTGGATAGGCTGGAGGGTCCTGGAGTGAAGGGAAGGAGGTGAGGTCCCAGCAGGGAACTGACCGAGTTGTACCTGCCTCTCTCCTGCCATCCCTCCTGTTCTCCCTATCTGACTACTTTTTGCAGAAGATGGACAGGAACAAGGATGGCGTGGTGACCATAGAGGAATTCATTGAGTCTTGTCAAAAGGTACACGCCCCTGCCCTCCACATTTGCCTGGTCTGGACTCAGGACCTGATTCAGTGATATACAAGAAGGCTCCTTTGGGCTGAGTGCCATCTCCCTAACTCGACCCCTCTTCCAAGTCCTGTTCCTGTACAACTTGGGGTATCTGTCCCTTCCCAACCTCAGGTTTCTCTGGGTGTCTCCTTTGCTACATCTCTGAATGTCCCCATTTATGACTCAGTGTCCCTTTCCCTGTCTCTGACAAGTTCTTTTTATTTCTCTCTCCAATCTGCCTCTCTCACACCATGGCTACAGGATGAAAACATCATGAGGTCTATGCAGCTCTTTGACAATGTCATCTAGTTCTCCAGGAGAGGGGGTCAGTTGTCGTGGGGGGACCATGATCTAGCCCTAGTCCAGGTTGACCTCACCCTTCTCTTTCCAGGTCTGTCCTCATCTTTGCCCTGCCCTGGGGGCTGTAGGAATCCAAGAGCCTTGGGATTCAGTGGTCCAGATTGCTGGAGCTGAAGGGGCCAGGGAGTGAGCAGTATGTTCCTGACTCCTTACGGCTCCCATCCCCTTCCTGCCTGACATTTAGCACTGAGAGCACCCCTGCTATAGGAAAGGAGTGGTTCTCCAGTCCTACCCCCACTCTAGAAACCACAACACTAAACAAAATCTCTCCTGCTATGGTGCTTCCCCTGTCCTTAATCTCACAAACAGGGATCTCACAAACAGCCTTCTCAGAGAGGCTGCTGTCCTTGGCACTGACTGGCCTTGCAGACCAGGTCCTTTAAGTCCTGTAGGTGGGAAAGAATGTAGAGGGTCTTAGGAGGTGGCTGGGGTAAAAAGCAGAAAGGCCTGGAGATTGTCAGTGAGAGCTCAGGCATGCCAGACTATAGCTTGGGACTCTGGAGGTCTGCCACCCCAAGCCATCAGAATATGATTTCCCAGGCTCTTCAGACCTTGTCTCCTTGAAGTGCCCCAGACACTTTCCATACCCTCCTCAGTATCCCAGGAGGGCCTGGATTCCTGACATCTGGCTCATTCCTGGAATTCTTCCTTTCCTTCCTTCCTGTTTGTGTGCTACTGGTTGGGGGAGATACCCTGGCTGATACATGCCAAAGGCCTAGCCTACCCTCTCTGATGGCTACTACTTAAGTTTTCATTTGCCATTTCCTCTAGACTTGGAGGCACAGAGTGAGTCAGGGACCATCCAATGGATGCCTTAGAAGAAAAGGGAGAGAGAGGCAGGCATAGCACCTGAATCCAGTGCAGGGGCATTCAGTACAGTCTTTTACCTACCCAGGCTCTATTCTAACCCCCCTACAAAGCCCCTTCAATTCCTACCTAAGGTCTCTTCTTGTTATATTCAATCTTTCCAGAGATGCCCTGAATACATCTAGAAGGCAGGGACCATAGGGCCCAGGTCCCACCTCATTGTCAGCACCCCTGTCATGCTGCCACCCCTTAATATGCCTGCTTTGCATTTTTGGCTCCTCTGTATATTTTGTAAAATAAGAAATACACCAGATCCAATAAAAACATAATGGCTATGCATAGGCTACTGTCTCTGTCTTTCTTTCCCTCCCATCCTACACATATCACAATGCCTGCATATGTACCTGTAACCTTTTAGATTTCAAATAAAGTGCCTCTCTTTCTCATAGTATGGCCAACCCTTGGCAGGAGACTGAGACACAGGTTCTGGAAGGGTGGAAACCTACCTAACCTTAGGGGTAGAGGTCCCCATGTGCATCTCTCTCTCACATCCTTAGAGGAGATGAGACAGGCTATTGATGTTGCAAAGACTGTGCGAAGACAGATGTCTTCAGCTATACAAGTTGAATCAAGAATTTCTAATTTGCAGACATCTTAGTTAATCTCAAAGTGCTTTCTTTTGAGGTGGGAAATTCCCTTTAGTTCCTAATGGAAGTTCCCTTATGTAAACATCCCAACCTTGCCTCCAGGATGGACATACATTTGTATCTATATTCCAGCCAGGAACAATGAGGAATCAGATGGAGTGGACCACAGGTCACCATGGAACAGGTGGCAGAAAGGGTAATAGAGACTTTCTGTGTTGGGGTGGGAACCTTTCTTTGTTCTGCACCTGAAGAGCCCTTTCTTTAGGGCACCCTTAGGTGGTAACTACAATTCACCATGCATAGAAGGGGGATCAGGCTTTCTCTTCCATCACTGTACAAATTGACAAGGTTAAGGGAGGGGTATGGTGTCTAAGAAACAAAAATTTATTTCCAGAGTCCAACATTTTGTCATCTGTGTCTCCTCCTTATATCATCACAACTATTTACTCCTTAGGTCCTTGTTTCTTTGGGTCACAACACCTCTTAAGGATCTGATGAACATTGTGAGCCCACTGTCCAGAAGAAAAAAAATGCACACTTTTCCATATATCATTGTGTCCCTGAAGCCCATCTATGGGCCTTCAGTTAAGAACCTGTGATCTAGTCTACCTCTCAGCCTTTCATTATACAAAACAACAAACAGGCCTAAGGAGGGGAGAAGAACTGCTCAAGGTTACCCAGTGAGTTTACAGAGGATTGAGACTAGCCCCAGTCTCCCAAGTCTGTCCAGGGTGACTTGGAGCACAGTAAAGATTTGTGTGTGAAAGATGGGTGCTGTGGATGTCATGCAAAATCTAAATGAGTGACACTGTTACAGGCTGTCATGGTACTTTATACTTTTCCTTTCTGGCACTTCTCACTTTGTAACCATATATTTACTTGAGTGATTATTTGACTTCTTTGATACATTATAAACTCCTGAGGGCTCCTTGAGTGCCTGGACTCGGTTTTTTTGCCCCTCACCATCCTATCTTCAGAGCCTGACACATAATAGTATTCAGTAATTGTATGAAAAATTGTATGCTTGGATGAGTAAGCATGGTGAGTGTGGGTATATAACTGGGTTAGATATAGAGACATTTGTGTTATAGGGTAGATCCAACTTTTAAGGGAAGTTGCAGTCTGAAGCTGAGAATTTCTAGTGAGGTGAGAAGTACCCAAGGCCAAGGCACACTAAAGGGATCCAGAAGAAAACTCCAGCAGGTTGGCATTCGGATAACTTTTTTCTGACCATTGGTTGGATTCTGAATGTTGTCAGTGGTTCCATGTCAGAATGTTCTTTCTTGCCTTACAGTATTTCATACTCTTCTGTTTTCTCTTACCTCTCTGGCCACCCCTCCCTTGCAGACTCATCCTTCTCAACTGGCATTCAAATCCTTGATCCCTATGGCTCAGATCTGAGCCTCTTCTCCAAATCACATCCAATCCCATGGCTTTAAACACCATCTCTATGCAGAGGATTCCTGCTTATATTCCCAGAATTCTCCTCTGAGCTTTAAGACCCAATTGCTTATTTGACATTTTCATGTGGACCTGTAATGGTCAAACTTAACATGTTCAAAATGAGCTTTGATTCATGCCTTTCCAGTCTTCTCCGTATCTACCTAGTTGCTCAAAATTTAAGTCTCCATTTTTTCCTCTCCCTCACTCTCCCTCTACCTACCTTTAATCAATCACCAATTCCACCACCGAAGGTACACCACCTCTGTTTCCACTGCTGTTCCCTAGTTGAAGCCACTATTATCATGCACCTAGATTACTACTTATTCTCCCTTCTGATCCTCCTTGCTATGGTTACTTATCATCACATCACTTGATTTTCTTCCTTCATAGCACTTATAACAAACTGAGTTCCTATGTGTGTACTGAATTGATTACTGTCTGTATTCCCAAGAATGTACACTCCTGTGAGGCCAGGGCCCTATCTCATTCATTCTGCAAATATATATCATAGGCCTTCTAAGCTCTGGTTGCTGTTATAGGTCCTGCGGGGTAAAGGTGTGGTATGGAGAGAAAAGTGTGTAGCAAGAACTGCCCTTCAAGCTTGAGAGGTACAGATACGGAAGGTGGGCCTTGCCTGGGCCACAGACCCCAGACTATGGACTGCATAGTAAATGAAATTGTGGCTGCTGACTTGCTAGCAGTTGCCACAAAGTGAGGTGTGAGGCAAAGAGGAAAGTGTCATGAGACTAAGGGCTAGGGTCAGCTGGAGTAACAGCTTCCAAATCCTCTGAGGGACCAAAATATCCTGTAAGCTGCTTATGGCCCCCAGCTGTCATCACAGGAGGTCCCCTAAGAAAATGCTTGCCCCTAACCTCTCTGAACACTCCAGGTCTAAGAAAGAAGAGGGACTATGAGTTCCTGGAACTACAAGTTGGGCTACCACTGGAGGAGTTGAATATGAGGTTGGAATGTAAGATGGACAATATTGTCTTAATAATCAGTGTGAGACTGAGATGCTCATTTCATATTTGTACCTCACAAATTGAGACAGATCTCTCAGCCAACCCAAATGTCCATTATGACAGGATTACACGGAGCTCTCAGAACTTATAGCAGGGGGACCCAAGCCCATCTAGGGCTCAGGGAAGGCTTCCCCAGGGAAATGATGTTTATGCTGAGGCCCAAGGGATTTCACTTCTCCCTTACACACACTTCACACTCCTTAATCCCAAACAACCAGGCCTTTTCACCCCTCCCTACATTTGTACTCTGTTCCACCTGCCTGGAGTGCTCTATTCGCTTCCCCTCTACTCAGTCTGGCTAACTTCTAACTCATCTATTGTGATCCAACTCAAAAGTGAAGCCATGGCCACCACCTCTCCAAAGCATTCAGTTTCTCTGAGCTCCTGCAACACTTGGGTACACCGTGTGGGGATTGTGTGTCTACTTGCATGTCTCCACCACCATACTGTGAGTTCACAGTGGCCCAAAAGCCCAGCATAAGGCAAGCTTAATAGGTGTCTGTTAAAAGAAGGAATGAACGAATAACTGGATTTTTTTAAGGGGTTAACGCCAAGCTAGGTACAGGGGAAAATGATTCAAGGCAGTGGAGTGAACTGAGCTTCTTGGTTGTCTTTACGGAACCTGGCTCAGACTAACGTAACGAACCAACCTATTAGAAGAGTACCAACAGAAAGTAGGTCAGTTCCTTCCTATCTCTTTAAGAACTAGAGAATTCGTTTCCGCGCCTGCGCATTGAGAAAGTAAACATCTTTCTTTTTCACCCTCTACCCGTCACCGCTTATCCCCATTGCCCCAACTAGCTGCAGCCTCCTCCCATACGCCCCTTCTTCGGGTTGGGTAATGGTCCCTTCCAGGAGGCCAGGCTGATTCTGGAGGGTGGCGAGCATAAGTGGTACATTCCACAGCCTTCATTACTTTCCGCTTGTCTCATCTCCGCTATTCTACTTCCCCCTATCGAATGAAGCTCAATAAACTGGCCCAAAGCAGGAGGGGGAACAGAGCTGAGGGGACCGGTCTGAGCCGGTCTCCGGCGCAGGCCCAGTGCGGATAAACAGGAAGCGGGTGGTAGAGGCAGTGGCAGAGAAAACGTAGGGGCTTTGGGGGAAACAGCGGAAGAGGTAGATTATCGGGAGGCCAACAGAGATTGAGAACGCGAAAAAGAGTCTTAGCTACCTACGTTCCAGGGAACAGGAGGTCGCGGCGTCGCTCTCCGCTTAGGCTTCCTGCTGCCCAGGTTAGGCTGAAGCAGCAGCTGACAAAAGGCTTGTGCTGGGGCCGCCGCCCTTCTCATCCGGGCATTCGGGTCCCTGCGGAGAGGGAGGGGGAAGGGCAGAGGGGGAGGAGAAGGAGCAGGAGGGGCGCGCGCTTGGAGCCGAGGGCCTCTTCAGGGCTCCAGGCCGGCGGCCCAACGGACGGAGGCGGAGGAGGACCTGCAGAGGTGGCAGCGGCCGGGGGCAGGAGGATGGTGCAGAAGGAGTGCCAGGCGGCGCTGGAGGAGCGGGAGAGCGAGCTCAACTCCAACACTGCAGCCTCCGCGGGGGCATCGTTGGAGCCGCCGGCAGCTCCGGCCCCCGGAGACGACAACCCAACCGGGGCCGGGGGACCAGCGGTGGCCGCAGCTGCAGGAGGGGCTCGGAGGTTCCTGTGTGGCGTGGTGGAAGGTGAGCGCTCTGGCTCGGGCTGGGCAAGAACGTCCTCCGTCTCGCCCCAGTACTAGCACATTCTTTCCTCGTGAGGGGTGGCGGCATTGCTTTAGGGGGCTCTGAAAGGGTGTTACTCCCTTGGGCCTGAAATTTGATCCTGCTAAAACGAGAGGAGAGGCGAGACCTGAGCAAGCCTCTGCTGCTGTTTTATGGCGTCGAATTCTCCTTTGGCTGTTAACTAGCCTGACCCCGCCCGTCCTGCTCCTTCGGAGGCGGTGGTAAGAAGCCTAGCATTAGGCCCTGAGTTACACATCCTTGTGTTTTAGGATCTTATTCCCTGGAGTAGTTGTGTTCAATGAAAAAAATGTGGGTAATGGTGCTGTCTCCACCCTTTGTAAAAAATCGA